AATCAAACTATTAAGGTCAGGAGCCGAATGATTGGAGGAGATTTCGGTTAAAAAATTGTTATTTTCTTTAACATTTTCAAGCAGATTTTTAACTCCCTCGGCAGTATTGAATGAGCCTTTTTCTTGTTTTCATTCGGTTATTTTGGTATCGGAGAAAGATTGCTCCAAACTTGGGTCAATATTTTTTAATTCTTCCCTCCACTCGTTAGGACTTTGGTCAGTATCGTTTTTTGGACCTTTATCGGTGGGTTCTTGGTTGTCGTCTTTCCCATTGTCCCCGTTGTCGTTATTTCCGTTTCCATTGTCAGGAGTAGGTCCTGGGGAGTCGTCGGAGGGTTGTTTTTTTCCAGGTTTGGGGTTATCACCTGGTTTTGGATTGGGTTGTGGTTGTTCTGGTCCACTACTATCGCCTATCAACGAATTGAACTCACTAATTAACTCTTTGGCCTTGGCGTTTATCTTTCCTGCATTACCAGTTTCCACCTTAATAGCACCAGCAATCCCACCTCCCATACCATAATAAGTATTAGCCGCATTAACAATAGCGGAGCAACTATGTAGATTTTTATCTCGGATATCTCCGACTCGGACTTGAATGCCTTTTGTCTTATCACTTTTTAGATTTCCTACAAAATGGTTATCCTCCGCAAAGAAAGCGGTATCACCAAACAATTCTTTCTCTAACTGCTGGATTTTTTTCAAAAATAGGTATGGAGGTTTTTGGTCGAAATCTATCAATACAATGTCCTTTAACTTTTGACACTCGGCTAATTGATTAGTAACTCCACGGATTATTCCTTCCGCCAACTTTTCAGGGTCGCATTTACCAAGAAATATGTCTCCACCAACGAGAGGAACAGCCAATTTTTCGAAATTATTTCTCTCCGCTAGAATAATACAATTTTGGACGGATTTGACTACGCATTCAACAAATTCCTCATCGCTAGGAAATTTTGACCGTTCTTTTGGCCCAGCATGAATGATGTGAGTAATTCCTTTGCTATTGAGGATTGAAGAACCATTTCCGGAGCCGTCCAAGGTGTCGGTCATTAAGGCACAACCAGCCGGCAAATTGCCCTTGGTGACTGAATAGTTTGCAATTCCTATCGACGAAATTGGCAAAGGCGGATTTTTTTTGTATTCTGGTTCTTGGTCCGTTTTTCTCAAAGCAGTGTAATTCATATTATATTAATTTTATGATTTAGACTTGTTAACTTAATTAAAACTTAATATTACAATGTGCAAATTAAATGTCCGCTTTTCTAGTAAAGTTAAATTACTAATAGATATTTGCCAACTCCGAGGCACTGGGAAACTGGCAAGGTCCGTTCACCTCGCGTTTTGGTTGAATAATGTTTTTCTCGTAGGGCTGACAACAATTCTTCCTTATTATTTTTAATGGCTTCTAAAAATAGAAAATAACTGTCTTTTTTGCTGAGAGGTAATTGTTTCTTTCCCACAACTAATAATCGATATTTATTCTGTTGCTGAGGCCGTAAAACGAAAAAAAAACGCTGCACTCCTTCTTGCTGGTTAAGACTGTTTTCTACCTTGGAACGATAGAAAAAGTAAATACAACCACCTTGTAAAATACTAACTTTTTTTCCATATCTTCTTTTCATTATAAATTTAATTTATTTTTAACCTGCAGCATAAATATTACTATCTATTTTTTTTATCGCTGTTTATTCAAAAATATCACGTTTATTTTGCTACATTATTTAGATTTTATATAGCACACGAATCATAAAAGTTAAAAAACAAAGGCTTGGTGTTTGGATAAAATTATAATATATATGTCTAAATTTCTCGGTCCCTTGTGAAAAAAATCCCGTGCCCTGCATTTTTCCCTATTAGGAAATAA